GTGTGTGTGTGTGTGTGTGTGTGTGTGTGTGTGTGTGTGTTACAGGGTTCGGATATTGAGACACTGGGGCCGGATAACGCCGGAGAGTGTGAGGATGGAGCGGTTAGCCGTGCTCCAGACGTACCTGATGGTGAGGATGTCATTCAAAATGAATAAAGACAAAGATATTTGTTGTTTTAGAGGTCAGGTTTTGTGGCATGAATTTAATGATTACCACTCAGGTAGAATGCAGTATTAGTGTGTGGTTAATCACGTGTGTCAGCACACAAACGCAAAAGAATGAATGTAATGTGTAAATGCAGAAGTGGTCAAACAAGTTTGAAATATTTGAGCTTGTTTTTTTCAGCCAAGCGGGGTGAGGAGAGTTTGGGAGAGTCCTCACTAGATCTCACACTGAGTGATGAGGTGGCGGCGGAGGCGGAACCGGCCTGAGAGGTGCGATTAAACCTGAAAATGACCTCCTGGCATGTGTTATTGTTCCGCAGAGAGGAATTCTCCAGTAATCTGGCTTAAAGAAGTGGCATTGATGTGTTCTTGCAGGCGGGTGGAGAAGAACATGTGATCCCTTGCTCCTCCAGTGAGAACTCTGACATCATCACACTGGCGGACTCTCGGGAGGCGGAGACTGACTCGTGGGAGGAGCCTGTTGCTAAGGAGGCGGAGGAAGCAGGAAGTGAGGAGCTCGATCTCGGAAGCTCGTCGAGCAGCCAGTACACGTTTAGAGAGTCGGAGACGAGTGAGTGGAAAACGTGTTTTCATGCATATGAACACCACTGCAATGTCGTAATTAGCCGTGGGATTTTTTTAAAGTCTGACTTTACAAATTAAAGAAACGAATCATGTTGGAAGTTATTTGGTATTGATCACAGTTGCGTTTTAATTGTGAATGTTGATGGCAGAGTTTGGTTTGTATTCATTTTGTTTGTTGCTGAGAAAGATAGCGTGCAAATCTAGGGCTATGTGATCAATCGAAATAAAACCCGAAATCACAATAAAGCTTAGTGCAGTTCGCAAAGTCTGCAATATATTTAAATAAATATATGGTATGTTTTTTAGAATATGGCATCGTGTTCTTTTATACTCAAGCAGCTTATGTTTCGGTGTTTAATATTTGTTTAATATTTCTATGTAGCAATTAATAATAATAATAATGAATAATAATAATAATGATTATTATTAATGATATCTAAATAAAAATAAAAAAAAATGTATCCAAAAAAATAAATAAATTGCATCAAGCTTGTGTGACAAAGCTACACAGCAATTATATATGGATATAAATTTGCAATTCTGAGAAAAAAATTCTGACTT